CTGAGCAACTTGAATTTTCTGTTAATATATTTCAATGTATCTCGTTATATTTCCATGTAATTCATTGTCTTTTTTTCAATTGTATTTCAATGTATCTCGTTGTATTCCATATATTTCATTGTATTCACTGTCTCGTTGTATTCCATGAATGTATTCATATACTTTTTAATTAATATAATTTATGTATTCAGATGTATATATGTATTCAAATTGCTCTGCTTTTCTTGTATTTATCGGCTGGAAAAAATATTCAGCATATTTTCTTTGAAGATTGCTATATTTTTGGGGTGTTTTTTCGTTGAAAATCTTTTTTATAACTGGAAATACATGTGTGTTATAATTGAGTTTGTTGAGTTATATTAGAAGTTTATTATGTTAATTGATTCACTTTCCGTTTACAAACAACTGAATAGACCATGAATTGCGCTATTTATGTTACTGTATTTACAAATACATATCGTGAATACAGTCGAATACAATAATCTGTCTAGCTGTAATTCCATGTTTCACGCCTAGAAATGCTACTATATTCATGAATACAGTAGCTTAAATACATCGAATACACTCTAAAAAAACCTTAAAACATAGCTACAGGAAGTAATATAGTAAATTATAGCTACAACTAGCTAATAACTACTAAAACATAGTGGTTTCTAAAAGTTTTCTTTAATGAGTTATCTCTTCTGTGTTTCTTATTGGCTATTCTTTCTAACATCTGAACTAGTCCTAATATTCTAAAGATCTAGAGAATCCTTCAAGAAGTTTAAAAGGCATGTATACGTATTGGAAAGAGCAAAACTCAGAGAGTTATAAATTATACCCCTACGTTTCAGTTTACGTGAACGTGTTTGAATGGGCACGGAATTTAAGAAAAAATGAAGATTTTTGAAATTTGTAGTCCTAAACAAGTCAAAAAGGGACCCAGAGTATTTGTATGGTTATAAAAGCTTCTTGTTAAGGGTAAATTATAAGTTTAAGTTAAATTATTTCTAAATTTAGAAAGGGGTTATTCTTTTTGGAATGGATCAAAAAGGAAATAGATTCACATAAACTGTAACAGAGGTAGTAATACTGTAAGAACGGCAAACACTACTATATACTTTTATCTGCTTTTCTATCTTCAAAGAATAACATGACTTATGGGAAAGAATTACAAATGGATCATAGTACCTTAGAAAATTGAAACTACCTTTTTAATCCATCGAGTTTGTATAATCTCTACCTTAGAAACAAATGTAAAATGTACTAAAATCTCTTGGAGGTTGAATCATCTCTACTCTCCAAGTCCCTTTGCCTAGGTTCACCTTCAAGAATGGAAAAAAATAAATAGTTAGATACATATGGCTAAATTATCGGAGGTGTTAAATAAGCTTTTATTAACCCAGCTGTGTTCATAAGAAACGAAAAAAGTACTAGTAGTTTTATATATAGTAGTAATATTAAAGTAGTTGAACATTTACCTGGTAAATTGCTGTGGTTATAGTTAGTGAAATGATCTTGAAAATCTCCAGCTCTTCTGTTATTTCCATCTGCAATATTTTGTACTGCAGAAGGCAAGGGAATTGTTACTTCACAATGTCTTCCACCAATAGTATCTCTCAACATTGTCTTAGCATTATCAGTCCATTGATCAGCAAAAGAAGCAGAACTACTACTTGACATTATTGCACCACGTCTTCCAATTGCGCTACTAATTGGTCCAATTCCCCTTCCTCGTACATGTCTACTTGCAGTTGAACTTGGACTCACCAATTGATGATCACCACATTCTTTTCTTCTTCTTCCTCTATTAATTCCTTGCCCTAAATCTATATTGTTATATGCACATCTTTGTTGGTGTAATTGAACATGACCATTGTAATTAGTTAGATGAGACATTCCTCTTCCTTCAGCTTGTAGAATCCTGCTTGGATTTTGAAACTGAACTCCTTGAAACCCTTGTCTTGGGATTAAACTATTTTGCCTAATTTGTTCAATTGGATTATTAAAATGGCTAGGAAAAGCCCCATACCCTTGTAACAGGGTACCATAATTAGGTGCAGTTGAGTTCAACAAATAATATTCCTGATCACTAAGCGTGGAAATGGTACTGATTTGTCTTCGTGCCACCATCTGATCCAAATACCTTATTTCTGACGCTGTTGGCGGACGGCGTACATCTGGCAATTGTACAATTTGCAGCTCTTTATTCCTCTTTTCCTCCATAAGCTCTTTAAGCTGTTGTTCCAACTTCTTGTATTCCCCTAATGGCCCGTGAACTGGATCTTCCTGCCATCCATCAGAGGCATAACTATAGTGTTAAGCTAAAACAGAAGAAGCGGATGCAACCAACATTCAATGGATTAACTAAACTCATTATTTTCGACAGATTTATACGTGACCCCACTAAGATTTTAACAAAAGTTCAGTGCGATCAGCGCAACGAAACCTTCAAGATTGAACCCATTCTTGAATGACGCCTCTAAATTGAACTGGTTATCTTTTCATAGATTATCGATATATATGTAAGAGATTATAAATATGGTAATAAAGTTGAAACTCATATTTTCAAGAAATTAAAGTGAGAACCATAAACTCATTAAATTTAAAATCGTTACTCCGTTTCTACCTGCCATAACCTTGCTTCCCAGAAGAAGGATTTGATAACTTCATCCTGTTGAGCAACATCATCTAAGCTTTTGATCTTCTTTGTTACATTGGAAATACCAAAAACCTTATGAACCCCAAGAAATTCATCCATCTTAGTTGCTGGAAAGTGTCGCCACATAACGCACTCTCCTTCTATACACTTCTTTCTTTGATGCTTACATGAAGCACATGCAGGACGATTACTACCTGCAGTTTCGTGTGATTCTGCAGCATCAACAGCTGCTGCACCTTCTTCTGCATTATTGTTTGTGTTATCTGACATTCTTGATTCACCGGCAAGGCAAAGAATTGAACAGAGAAGAAAATTGTTGTAAAAAAGATCCGGAAAAAGAAACATTATACTGCTACTGTTGCATTAAGTGTGCATGGCTTTCTGCGTAAGTTATTAAAAGATGAGAGATGAAGAAGGTTGATTCCTTTCTGGGGAGAGCAGAATGCGGAGGCGAAAGAGTACAAATAGGGTTCTGCTAGCGGTTATATAGCTTTCTTGAAAGAAAAAAAAAACAATAATTTAACCCCAAAAAAAAAAGATAAAAAGAATATGTCAAACTCGAGTAAAAGGGCATTTTTGTCATGTGAAGAAGTTCCAGGGTATATATGGATTCATGGTATGTAACTTTATACAATCAATATTTATAGTAATTTATACATAATTACCTTATAAATGACCTAAATAATTAAATTAACTTAAACAAAGAAACTCTTCTTTTCCACAGTTTAGTTACATATTTCCATATACCGGATACAATTGAGAAATTTTACTTTCAGTCTCATATGCCTGTAATATTTGTGTGAGGCCCTTATTTAATGACATTTGTAATTTGTGGGCCCATTTGTTTAACTTTTTCACCTCAATGTCGTTCCTTCAGTTCTTTTCTTTCTCTTTCTTAGTTCTTTTCTTTTTTCTTAACACTTCATCTTCCTCCTCCCAGACCTATTCGATGGGTGTGTGACTCTGAACTTCAGCTTCAATGGACTCTTGTTTATCTTTTTTTTAATTGGGATATTGTGAGTCTCTCTCGCTCACTCCTTGAAGTTTTAAAAAAACTTAACACAGATAAATCTCCATGACATTCAAGAGTGAGAAAGAGAGACAACCCCTTTCATTACCGCTTGTCAAGTCAAATTGTTACAGATTTTTTTCCAGAAAGAGAAGATATTTGCTGAGAAAAAAACCTGATTTTTTACTTTAATTAGCTCTCCGTAAAATTGAAATCAACAAAACATTGTTCTGTATACTCTACCAATCTTATTTGAAAATTTTACAAAAGTATTCTTTTATGTCTTTTCATCATTTTCATAGAGAAAAAAAAGAGAAAAGAGAACAGATGATTTTGAGCCAAAAAAGAGAGGAGAAAGGAAGTAAAATAAAGATTATAGGGGTTATATTTGCTTTTTATTGGGTTTCATGGACAGTGCTAAAGCTTAGTTATATGTCAATGTTAATGGTGCTTTTTTTTTCTTTATGATTCTTTTTTTTTAAAAGTATTTTATGAGCTTAACTTTTGAGTGTCTTTGACAAATGGCTAATTGCGTGAGAGAAAAAAAATCAGAGAACGAATTAATAACATTTAATTCTGGTAAATGGAGAGGAATTGCAGAGATTTGGAAGAGGAGAGAATAATAGGGCAAGAGATGGAGTTGGCCAATTTTTGCTAAAAGGTGGGACCCAAAAATCCACTTGGCAAAGTTCTAAAAGAGTCATGCAAGTTGTGTCTGTCACATAATATCTCATGCAAAATAAACACTACTAGAAAATGGCATATTCCCAACGGCCAAAACGGTCGGAATTCGATCGAAAATCACGTATTTTTAATTACTTTCCGATCGAAATTGGTCCGTCAGAAAAAAGTTGGTTGGAAAACAATTTCCAACCAAATTTGTCGGTGATTTCTGACCAATGTAGTCGCAAATTTCAACCAAATAATTCTCGTTTTCAACTAAAGTGGTCGGAATTTACCGACTAAATCGGTCGTAATAATACAATTAAAATTAATAATTAAAAATTAAATTTTATTTAATTTCCGAAGGAATCCGTCGAAAACTACTGAATATTAATTTTTTTAAAAATTTCTGACCGAATCAGTCGGAAATTAATAATTAAAAATTAAATTTTATTTAAATTCCGACGAAATCCGTCGAAAATTTCTGAATATTAATTTTTTTTTTAAAATTTCCGACCGAATCAGTCGGAAATCTGGGAATTTATGGTTAAATCTGGGCAGTTGTCCGATCGTTCCCGTCGGAATTTTGTATAAAACTGGGCAAAATTCTGCCCGATTTCGAGCTACACTACCTGTCAAACTATTACAAACAAAAAAATACCAACCAACAATACATTAACAACAATCTAAACCAACGATACATTAATACAATAATACGAACCAATAATACATTAACAAAATCTAAACCAACAATGCCAACCATTAACACAACTTAAACCAACAATACCAACCTTTAAACTTAACAATTTTGGGCATAAAAATATCCAAATAGTAGTCCACATTCAAGTCTAAAAGCAATACATAAAGTTGTCTCTCGCAATCAAGTTTACCAATCAACGAAAACATCACAACTAAACTACTACACATCGATTCAGTTTGTTCATCCTCATCATCAGATAAATCATGCCCATGTTTACGCATGAATTTCTGCATCTTAACAAATGTTCCATATTTGGAGTCCAATTGTTGCTTCAATTCACGAATTTCCTTTCTCATATCTTCCATCTGTTCTTGATTTTGAGGAGACGAAGAATTGGCTAAGAGTGAGTTTGGATGACCTATAGGTCGATGTACTCCTAGTCTGTAGACTCTGCCTTTGTTTGCTCCACCTGCTGCCTCTCTCCACAATGAAGTCATATCATCAAGTGTTGGTTGAGTTGAAGGAGGCTGAGTTTGTTGCCATTCTTCCAACCTTTTATGATAATCTTCCTGAAATGAAAAACATAACTATTATGTAAACAAACTAATATTAATAAACTATAAATAATTTTGAGCCTTAGCAATAAATTCAGCAACCCCTTCAATAAATTCATCCATCAACCCCGCACGATTAGGATGATTCCTATTATACATCCATCTACGATGCACAAATTCCATCTACATAAATAGAAATCTATAAATGAGATATTTAAAGTAATTTGATTTATTTAAACTAGTTATTTAACACTCGAAATCTCACATTAATCCCTATTCTAAATAATATAAGTCTTTAAATATACTAATTAAATTTGAATAGCTTCTTAAATGTTCATATAATCCAAATTAATTAATGATTTCTCAAACAAAAGAAATAGTCTTAGCTAACAATTATTTAAACTATTTCAACATATAAAAAAAATTAAAGAACTCAAATAGAATAAAACTATGGAGTAGTCATGCACATATGTTAATCTTTCTCTTCTTGTGGCTAATTTATAATTTAGAAACAAGGAAAATATAGTCCACTCTAAAATCTAAAAAGCTAAACACATCACTCTTTCTCAAAATAGAATAAAGCATTATTATTGTTTTTTTAAAAACATTTTTTAATATTGGCAAACAATCACTCTTTATGAAACTATTAAATTTATTTATGATATTTACTATTATTATTTAGTAAAAAAATTATTTACAACACATGAAAACTTTCGACTTATTTTGGAAATTAGTGATAGAAGATAATACTATCAACTTAAACCTTCTCATGTTTTACTGAGTTGGGAGTAAATGATTTGTTCAATGGGTTTTGTTAATTTTTCTTTAATCGGTGTCACACCTCTTTTTTACTACCCCCGAAAGGGTATATAAGAGAATTTTTTTTTCAATTTAAGTGACAATCAAAACAGGATTATTATTTAAGATTAGAGTCGCCACTTGAGATAATTTATGGTGTCCAAGTCACCGGTAAAAATCCCGAATTGAGAAAGTTGACTCTATTTACGGTTCACGAACACAGAAATTCGGGTAAGAAATTTTGTTAACCCGGGAGAAGGTGTTAGGCATTCCCGAGTTCTGTGGTTCTAGCACGGTCGCTTTGATCATATTTGGCTTAATCAAATTGTTTAATTACTTATTTTTAGAACCTATGTGCATTTGCCTCTTTTAATTAAGAAATTATTTTGAAACAGGGTCACGCGTACGTGTACCCATTTGTTTGGCGCATCAAAAATCATGTAACGCGAACGTGTCCACAATTAATAACGCTTTATTATTATTAAAAAAGTTTGGCCGAAGTTGTGCGAATGCAAACCCCGATTTTATTTTTTAGATTGTAATTTTGTTACGCGAACGTGAACACAATCACGATGGTATATTAAACGTGCCTAAAGCAAGCTACGAATATTCATTGAGAAACCATAATTATGTCACGCGAACGTGTACATAATCACGGTAATAAATTCAAAACGTGCCTAAAGGTTCGCCTACCGGATGTTGACAGCCTAGCATGTTCATAGCGGTCAAAGTAGTAGAACGAAACAATTAGCACTTAATGTCCAACCTCCACAGCCAATTCGGTAATTTTCACTATTTGTTCTTAGACTTTCTCTTGTTTGCAATATCACATAGACTGTTGATTGTGTTCCCTTAATACTTAATTAATTTACTACAAATAACTAATTAAACACAGTGATAGGAAATACAACACTTAAAGGAGAACGTTGACTTGAAATACTACAAAATCACGGAAAAGACAAAGAAAGAAAAGTCGAAAAACTAACAGTAAAGAATGTAAAGACTAAAAGAGTTTTCAAACCATCTCAATAATTACTAAAGTTCTGAAAATCTAAAAAAAAACACTACTGCCAATATGAACTAAAAGTAAGTCTATGAGATTAAATCCTTTTTCCAAAAAATATGACGTTTGAATTTGAAATATAAGGTTCATGGAGAATATATCTATTTGAGCACAAATTTTCCATATGGCTTTCGGATTATTTCCTTCACTTTTAATTACTTGATGAGCTACTATGTTCTTATAACTCTAGACCAATCAAACTAAGCATCATGTTCACTAACTATCTAATGTAATAGTCTAAATTCAATTCACTATGCAACTGAAAGCATGAACCAAGTATAAATTAAAATAATAAATGAGATATAAGATATGCTAATACAGAAGCAAATTAATCTAAAGCATTCACCAAACCAATAAAAAAGAAATAGATAAAAGTGAGCATGAGAAATTGGACCTTCACAGAAGAATAATTTTTCTTTAGTACTCACGAATTGCAACCTTCCAAACTTTGAGTTACACTGCAAAAGCATGTAAAAATTGGCTTTGAAATCATCAGCCGCAACCGAAGCTACGGACGGAAATCGACGACCAGAAACAGCTCGAATTGAACTCCAAACCTCAATTGATCTCCATTTTTGGACACCAAAATCGAAATAAAAGGAAGGCAGAATTATATTATTCTTTTTATATTTTTTGATTTTGGAACCTAAAACAAAATTAAAAAAAAAAAAAAAAAAGGGAATGAGAAGAAGCCCCTTTTCCGTGAAACCCCTTATTTTTTTTGCCTCCATTTCTGTTCTATATCATTAATAAGAATGAATGTTGCCCACCTAAAACCGTGTCCACTCACTCTCGCTTTGCTACTGTTCCCCTCTTTTCTGTGTGTATGTGCGTGTGGCTTTCTTTTTTGTCCGTGTGTGGCTGCTGATGTGAGAACATGACTTTTGCTCTATGAGAACCACTCCCAAAAATTTAAAATAAAATAGTTTTGTGTTATTTGCAGTTGTTGCGAATTTTGTGTTATTTTTCTGGTATTGTTTGCATTCGTTCGTGCCTGTTTATTTGTTAAATTAAGAATAAAATACCAAAAATATGGCATTTGCATTTAGGATTTGATTTTTGCAATTGTTTAGTTAATCAAGAAAATTGGTGTTTTGCCAAAAATGAGAAATCACAAAAATAATGTACTTTGCATTTTTTTAGCATTTAAGGTCTAGTTGTATGATTTTATTTTAAATTGGTACTTAATCATGTGTGATAATTATTATTAAGAGCTAATTAGCATTTTAATAAGTTAATTTGGTTTATAATTTAACTTAGAATTTTAGTTTTAATAATTAGAAAAAGAGAAAAAAAAGAGAAGAAGAAGAAAAAACAAAAATAGGAAGGAAAATCGGATTGTGCTCAAATCCCTGACCCAATGGCATGTCCCAAACCCGGTCCAGGCAGCTCCTCTCACAGGACGATGAAACGACGTAGTATAGGAGCCAAACTACGTCGTTTCAATGGCAAAAATCTCAGCCATTCAACCAAACCACATCTAACGGTCACAGATCAATTCCCGTATCCAAGAACCGAACTGATCACGCCCAACTATGCCTTATAAAAAGGACAATGCGGACGTTGCAAATATAACCTGAGTATTCTGCCCAGAGTCGAATCCACAGAGAATTAACCTATCAATCACTATCTTTAGAACTACTAAACTCTTGAGAACCAATTTCCCCAAACGTTTGAATCACAGTTGATGGTGTCTTCAATAACTAAAATTGCACGTAAATAAACAGCTGTAAACTAAGGATGCTAAGGTTGTAAACAATAATGAGAAGACGCTAAGGTAATGACTTCCCCTATTGATGGAATCTCTTCTGTTTATGCTTCATACAAATTTCCCAACACACCTCTATCAATCATGAACACTTTTATTACCGTAAATCTCTCCCGAGTAATCACAGTAATATACTATTGCACTCTCCCGAGATACACTAGCTAGCTTTAATTAACACAGTTCACTTAAGATTGCACCCAAGGCTTCGTTATCCCTAATCCCGCCTTTAAACCCGCAGTTATAGATCCCTATTATACTTTGGGAGTGGTATTGTTCAACAATAACCTAAATATGCATTCTCTCCCGAGTTATGCACACTAAATAGGCACAGCTAATTGAGGATCCTGTCAANGTTTGAATCACAGTTGATGGTGTCTTCAATAACTAAAATTGCAATTAAATAAACAGCTGTAAACTAAGGATGCTAAGGTTGTAAACAATAATGAGAAGACGCTAAGGTAATGACTTCCCCTATTGATGGAATCTCTTCTGTTTATGCTTCATACAAATTTCCCAACACAC